CTCGTTACAGCCGGGCCAAAAATAAAAATAAATTAAATAATAATTTTTATTTTAAAGTTGGTAAAGAATTTTGATGTGAACCTGAGGCAAAAGTTGTTCAGTTTATTTTTCTGCATAACATTTTTTTTTTCAGATTTTTTCTTTTTTTTGATGGGACCTTCTTTGGTCCTTGCACGATTGGGCTGCCCGGACAAACAAGGTGACCTGGGCGGCCCAGCTGGTAGCCTAGCTGTTTACAGTATTTTAGTTTTTATTCACCCTTTTCTTTGTGTTCGCAGCCGTTTTTTCCCTTTCGGAAGAACATCGTTTTATCAGCGACAGGCCCCATGCCCAAGGCCAACATCCATCCATCCAGGGGCAAGCAGCGAGGGTGTTCCCATCATTGAGTAGTGCAAGAGTGAGCATCAAGACAGCACCCATGGATCAGGACGTTCACGACTGTCATCCTGTCTATTTCTATGTAGGTCATCATTCTTTGGTCCATGCAAATGGCATGAAAACGACTCCAGCACAGACACCATATCCCGATGCCCGAAAGCATTCATGCGATTTAAGCAAATCTCAGGAGATGCATCAGAGGGACTTTTCATCGGCGCTGTGCTGCATGAAAATGCATCCAAGGACAGCGCATGATTCCACGAATTCCCACACATGTCAACAAAGGAAAAAACTTCAAAAAATTTGAAAAGGCCCAACATTCGAGTTCCGACCATCAAGATGAACATCGAACGATCAACAAACAGTGAGTGCAAAGGGATTTGGCGTGCAGCACGGCGGCCAATGCCGAAAAACTTCGGTGTTTTGGATGTTGACTTAAGACTTCTTGCACGGCTTGTTCGCAATTTCGTGTGCTGCGTGTAAACCTTCATGCCCTGGTAGTCTTTACACATGATTAAGCCCCCAGCTATCGGCCACAGAAAAATATAGAGTAGAAACATTTCTAGTCGGATCAATTTGAGCACTCCTGTAGTGGACCGTATGTTTCCTAAAATCGTGGCTTGTTAATGGGCACAATTTTGGCAAGTACTGGTGGTTTAAAGTGTTGTAGTGGCGAATACATCTGTCTGCGACAGAGGAGATCACTAGTTCAGTTCTATACTAGGTCATGGATGGACCCAGGTCACGGCGAACGATCTGGAGAATATTTGAACCACGAAGGATGCAGGATCATGCAGCCAATGCTGGCAAAACTTGCCAGAAATCATAAAGAACTTAAAAGAAGTAGATTTTCAAAATTTTCCTTTTCTTTCTTTAAGCGGTCCAATGAACCACGGATCAGACATTGAAGTTGTCTGAACTGATCATAACTCAACATATGTAAAATAAGGTCGTCCAAGGTGGTTTGTCATAATCACATTCCTTATTTCACTCAAGTATCCAGGGCGAGCAACTATGCATGTCTCGGCCCTTTGGCCGGCCAGACATTGAAGTTGATTGAACTGATCATAACTTGAGCTCAGCCACGAGGCTGAGACAGGCATTACTTTTTCAGACTTCCATTACATCCACCACTAAATACACCACACGATCCGGGGATACTATCCCAGTCAAATCTTCCTTGAAATAAACTTGCAAATTTTTTTTTTTTGGAAATTTTTTGGTAGTGAGGGCCAGACTTCTGGACAGATATCAATGGTTCACATGTGGTCGGTCCAGATCTGCATTAGGATATGGTACGCATGTCATCGAAGGATGGGCGTGGACAGATCTGTTGCGAACCTCTCTCTAAACCAGAACCCAGACCTGCCGAGGTAGTCCTGCAAGACAATCTGCACCTCAAGACCATGGCCAGGTTGACGACCGGCTGAAGGACAAGAGCAGAACAGGGTGCCGGGCAATCTGCACCTCAGACTATGGCCAGGTTGACAACTGGCTGAAAGACAAGAGCAGCACAGGGAACATTGTCATGGTATTGAGAGTGAGTGTATATACGTAGGGCCTTTAGGCACATACCAGTTTCTGAGCTGCTGCGGCGTCACCTCTGGGCCCTGAGGAAACCATCACCCAGCCAACACGCCACAACATACAATTCTGGATTGAGCAGAGAGAGATGAAAGCAACATGCAGCTATGCTTCTGACTGGCAGGAAGGAGAGTCTCTTCTCTGTTCTTTTTAATATCAAAGCCGAACGTCATTTGGTGGGGCCTCCCACATCAGGCAGAGAGGTTGATGGCATGTCCATTTGGTCCTCTTCTCACCACTACCTACTACTCCTGATCTCTCATGTGCTGTGGGCATTGTACTGTTGACGAACTACACTCAGGAGATGCAGACTTGAGAATGGTCACTGACTTTGGCTTCCACTGCCGCCACCTTTAACTGCTGAACCCTGGCGCAGAAATACTTACTGGCCAATGGATGAAGACCAGCTCAAGATCAGTCATCTCAGTGGCCAACCTCATGTTTTTCTCCCTTAGAACTGTTGTCTCCCAACAATTGGTGGTCCAGTTGCTCAAAATGAGAAAATCCCTGATTGGAGGTGCTGGGAAGAGTTCCACATCGCCTATCATGAACCCGACTGACACTCCCCAGAATAGGAGACAGGCCCATGAGGGCCGGCCTTCCTCTCCCTTTCCCTTCCCCCCCCAAAAAAAGAGAAGTCTCCCTCAGTCCTTCCATACGTTTTACATTCATGTGTGTGTGTGTGTGTGTGTGTGTGTGTGTGTGTGTGTGTGTGTGTGTGTGTGTAGCATGTGTGTGCACATGAGGCAAACGGGAGCACGACACGTCATACTCTCGTAGCTCCAACATAATCGTCAGCCCACTAGTGATCAAAGGCAAGCAGCGGAGGCAATTCTCACTGTGCCAGGGTAAGACCATTTCCTGTCTTTTTGCAAAGGCGATGAGCGGGCCGTTTTGCCAGAAAATTGGCCAATCTGAGCGCAGACGGCGAAACGAATTCCAATGATGGGGGAGGTGGGAGGTTGGGAGGCTTCTTCCGAAGGCGGAACAGGACTTTTCCATTTCAATCGAACATTCAATCATTCAACCAAATCTTCTAGCAGGAACGGACAAGAAATGTGCGGAATTAATCACTTAGTCATGTGAGAAGGGCTATCTGTTCCAAATGAAGAGAGAGAGAGAGAGAGAGAGAGAGAGAGAGAGAGAGAGAGAGAGAGAGAGAGAGAGAGAGAGAGAGAGA